ACATGTGCATAAACAGTGACCAAATCGGGGTATCCCGAGTTCGACGTGAAAACAAAGGTATCCTTACCTGAAATGGGTATGGTTGAACTCCTAAGGACCTCACAAGCACGAAATGTAATTTGTTTCCTCGATCTGTGAAGGTTTTAATGGTTTTGGTTGTCGTCTGCACAAAGAGAATAGGAATGGGAGAGAGAGAGTGCTCGGGACAGGGCAGAGAGAGAAGGTGAGTGAGTGTGGTGTGTGTGTGTGGTCCAAAACCAGCCAAGCAACACCCAAAAACAACCACACAACGAAACAACCATGCTAGGGGCAAAATCGTCATTTCACCCCTACGGTACGAAAAGTCCGGGACGGGCTGTCACACTTATTACAAAATACATTAAGGTGCATATATGGCAGCATAAAAACTACAAAATTATTGTTTTTGCTTGAAATGAAAAAAGGAAATTGTAGCAATGGTCTCTAGACTTTAACTCAATTGGAGTAATGGTCCCTCAACTAAAAATCCATGACAATTGGTCCCTTAACTCATCAAAACATGTAGCTATAAGTCTTTTTGTCAACTCAGTTAAAACTTCCGTCAAAACGAGTCACGTGCCACGCACGTGAGGCTAAGGGGCAAATATGAAAAACTAAACGAGAAAAATTATAGCAATGGTCCTTTACTTTAATCCAATTGGAGATTTAGTCCTTCAACTTTAACCCAACTAGACTAATGGTCCCTCAAACTTTAATCCAATTGTAGTAATTGTCCTTCCAATGTGACTCATTTTGATGGAATTCTAATGAAGTTGACAAAAAGGACCATAGCTGCATTTTGTTGAGTTAAGGGACCAATGATCATGGATTTTTAGTTGAGACCATTACTCCAATTAAATTAAAGTTGAGATACCATTGTTACAATTTTCTCAAATAAAAACTAGCTAACATATTAAGTAACATTTGAAATAATCAACCTAATAGGTTTTAACTTTGTGATTTTTTATTTTTTACTTAATAAACAACATTGAAAACTTTTCGGCCCCTTAAATTTGTCCCATGAGTTGTTGAATTAATACTAGGGCTAATGGGTAATGGGGATGTTTAAGATGATGGCCATATTGAGTTTGAGATAAAACTTCCATGTTTCTGATTATAATGCTTAAAGTGCAAAATAATTAGTTTCCCCCATACTTGATAACCTATGAGAAAATTTTCAGTTTATCATATCTAAGATATCCTTATAGGATTCTACCATATCTCTTAGACTAGATATTATCTTATTAAAGTTGTAATCCTAATGGGTTAAGAAATTCACCTTCCCTACTACTGTAAATAAAGGCACAATGAGGTGTGTTGGATTATGATTTTCTGGGCCCATGACACGTGGAAAGAATGATCGGAATGCTTGAAGCCCATGGAGCGTAGTTCATTAGGATAGATTTATGCCTATTAATAATATTACTTGTCTCCCAAGTAAGGAAACCCTAATTAAAGTAAAAAATTAGGATATCTTAGCATTAGGCAACATAATCATAATTATAGAAAGATTGGTATCTTATCCTAGATTTCCTCCTAGATAGTCTCCCGATTTGATGAAGATTACTTTCCCTACAAGAACTCTTAAGATCCTTATGAATACACTAGCCTGGGTATTTATCAGGGGACATCTAATTCTCTCTAAGTAGGACGGACTTCTATGATGTGAAGACGAGTTTTGTTGCAAGGCCTGACTTTTTTGAGAAAAAAGCACAAAAGGGAGGATTTCTAATACCTTTATTTATTTTGTCCTAATATCTTATTACTTCAAAATGTTTAAATCACTTTACCATGAAATAAAGAGTTCGACCTAACTATATGTTATTGTTTTTCCAAAGGGCATATGTGCTGATTGTACATCTCTTCTTCCTTTTAGATCTTATGAGGTCGGGCAAAATTAGTCCAACTCTATTCCAGTAGAACCAGTAACTCTGACAACGACACAACCTCCCTGACAAGCATGGGAAAGTCTCAAGACGAGGAGAAGTACACTAAGGGCAAGTCACCTTTACAAAAAGGCATAAAAGTTCAACTTAGGAACTAGGTCTTGAGTTTCGTCAGAGTTCCGAACTCGAATATGAATCACAAGGTTTGACAACGCAGCATAGCAATCATGCTACAACACAAAGAATTACAAAAAAGGATTTAGAGAGAAGAACTTCCAAGCCAGGAAGCAAAGGCACATTTGGCTCCTTGTGGATGACCTCTTATCAGAAGTCTACATATGACTTAGTTCAAGTCCATTACTCCGTTAAGGGGAAAGTGTTAGGGCAAGGCTCTGGTGGCAATATAATTGTGCCTAAAATCCATTCTACACACTAGTATGATTTTCAACAAAAAATAGATTTCTCAGATGAATTTCGATACAAAGCCAATTGGAGACAATAGCTAAGATGCTTAATATCGTTGTATCAAAGTTTCAGAATTTTCTACAAAGTTAATCTTTCCAGTTTTACATACGAAGTCAGTCGAAGCTACATTCTAGTTAGAACTGTGCAGCTATGGGAGAAAGAAAATTTCAAGGCCTTTGTGACTTTTTTCCCATGACATGCCACATATGTTCAAAAGGATAAGAAGTCAAGCTACAATAGTCTTATTTTTTCTAGAAGAAAGAATAGTCTCAAATCTAGCACACAAAGCAGCTGAATAACAAGCCAACATAAGCAGCAACACATGCAACTTCCCTGATTAAACTGTATCTACTCCAAACAAACTGGGCCTTGTACCATACATTGTGAAGATATGAAAGTCAGCCTTTGTAGAATTTTGGGAACTCAATTTTGAGTTATGTGGAAGATGTTATTGCTGCTTGACCACTCATAGCACATGTTGGAATTTTTTATTGGATTCCTCATGTTCTCCATCCAATTCATATCAAACAACGTCGTGTTGCAACGACATACGAGTTCAGGATGTATCTCTCTTTCTCAGAGCTATCTCTTTCTAGGACGATATCTTTTCTCTCAACAAGACTACCATTGATATCTACCTACATTCACATATTTCCTTGTACAAAACCATAATACACTTAATTCCTCTATGATTAACAGAGGTCCTTGCGCCGCCGTTTACGCATAGATACATCTATGAGGAACTCATTTCCTAATGCCACACCATAAGCTATTCATCAAGGATGGTTTACTCCACTTTTTCATAGAACTACACCTATGGGTTGATTCTCCTTCCTCAAGATATGCAGGTAGTCCTTCCTAGATTCAACCACACCCCCCAATCAACCCCATTCTCCCCTCATCAGAGACCATGGGTTAGTCCGATTGGGTTCTTGCCTCTGTTAATAGATGTGCACAAATTTGGTTCCAACAAGATGATATAATACACACCTCACAATTAGACATCTCTTTCTTTCTCTCTAACGCTGCCGCACTCCCTCTCGCTGTTCTTACATTGTTCAGTGAATTAGGCCTACAACAAGTTATCAACAATCTTGCCAGAAGCTAAGGAACTAAAGGTTCATGGATGAGGTTCTTCTACAAATTCAAAGACTCAGTTGTTTTCTGCCGATCAGGTTCTTTTAAAATAAATTATGATATTTGAAACGACCATAAAGCATGCAAAACATTCCTCATGATGCATGAACCCCTTATATTTATATTTTCCTTCTGATATATATACACACACACACACACACATACATATATACACGTTCATGCATTACGCAATTATAATTATGCTATGTGAAATTTGTGAGTAAAAAAATCAAAAGAAATTAGAAGCAATTGGGTATTTCAAACCCTAGAAATTTCGAAAAATAAATAAAAATTTTGGGAAATTTGCGGCTGATCCGCAGTCCATAGTTGCATCCCCTAGCCGACTTGATGCCAAGTCTAGCCTGCAGCTCAAGGTTTGGGCAGTGGAATGACTTCGTCCCGACGTTTCATGTGAGGCAAAAGTCCTTTGGGGTTTGCTGCATGAGTGGACCAGGCCCCAGGCCTGGGTTTCATTTGTTGGGCTTCCTGCCTTTCCAAGCACACAGGACCAACAACCTCTTTTTGCTGGGCTTTCTCACCATCCAGCCCACGCTAGACTAAGCCAGCACGTGCTGGAATTGTTTCCCGGCCTTGGCCCACCAACCAACAAACCTATGCTTCCTGGTCTTGTCCAGCGTCAACCAAAAGTTAACAAAAGCTTGGCTTCCTTGGTGTTTCGGCCTAAAGCTAGCAGCTTAGCACTGCTGGGCTCTGCCCGTTTCCCTCATCCCACTGACCCACAGCCAAGCTGGGCTACTGTGCAACCTTGTCACATGGTCCAAGGCCTGCTACAGGGCTGTGCGACATGTGTTAGGCTATGGTTTTTTTTCGACCCGATGCCAAATTTTGGCATGCCACACTTCTTCACTATACCTAAATATTTTTTGTTAAAGCCGTTCCAGGCTATTATTTCATTGTCCGTTGGACTGAAGCCAATTGAACCTAATATGACTCAAATGTCATTATTTTTCTTCTATGATCAAACCTGAATGGTTATGATCTGGTGAATTAATTAAAGTAACCAGCAGTCCATTAATCTAACAAAACATCCAAAATTACTAGCCTGAAGTCCACTTTTTGGCATTAATGATTCAATAAATTATTTCTTTTCTTTGAACCGTTGATTCTCCTTCATAGTCCCAAAACACTCATACTTGGGTTTCTGAATCAAACCCTAAATTCACTACACTTAATTGTATATTATATTCTGTGTTATTGCAGGTACCCTTTTTATGAACTAGAAGTTCATACTGAATCGAACATGTAGTTTCAAATTTAGTGTCTTTGAAACCCAAAGTTTTGAGTCAAAACTTACACCATGAAACCTGAAGCTTTCATGTTTAAATTAAACCTATACATGTCTATTCACATTTATAATTTATTTCTCATATATGAATGTAGTACATAACAAATATGAACTCATACTTATTAATTCCTCCTAATCTTTTATTTTATTTAGATAAAAAAATATCTCTAATCTATAAACAAATAAAATTGAATAAAATAAATTAACCTTTTGTTTTATTTAATTTCAGCATAAATATTTAAGTACATAATTGATGCACAGATGCTTCATCTTAGCAAAACCCAGCAGTACTATGAATACTTTTACAATATTATTCAACTCCCTAACATACACTTTTACGAATATTACCACCTGTACATTTTATTAGGCAATTTGGTATCGCTAGCTGTTTTTTTGGTTGGTGAGGAAACCTCTTAAGAAGCAGGTCTAATCGTCGACCTTCCAAGAACAGTAACAGATAAAATTCAACACCAAGAACTTAATAAAAAGTAAGGCAGCAGACATGGTACTTTGTAACATGTAAGCACATTTGAATTTTGACTACTACTCTCTTCTCACTAGTACATTATTAATAAAGATTAACTGCATGCTTTGCATTTGATTAGTTGATAGTTGTGCTTAATTTTTCTCCCACCTCTAATGTGTTGATACCATTTACTTCCACATTACTGAAGCAATCCATACCAAAATCATGAATACCAAAGTCTTGGCAGTCCAAAAGCCATGTCCAATTGTCATCCCAATTAGATTGGAAGCCCATTCCATTATTCTCAGTGATACTGTAATTGATCCCTCCTTGATCAAGTTCTACTTGATTGTTGTCGTTCCACAATGCATCAATCAGAGGTGTTTCATCCATCCATAGGGTGTTCATTAACAAATTGTCGTTGCAAATGCTGTCTAACAACACTGATTCAGCGCCTGTTGAGGAGTTTTCAGTGGATGAGTTTATGTCCTCCGATCCTGATGAATTCACCATGCTTTGATCATTTTCTTGTGAATTGTGAAGACCATTTATAGACTTATCAGCTGGCAAATTATTCTCATGATCACTATGATCATGGGAAGATGATGATGAGTTATTTTCCTTAATATTGGACGGCAACTCTTCTTTGTGGAGGGGTTCATGCGTGACAGGATCAATTCCCATCCTAAGCAGCTTTTTCTTGATATGGGTGTTCCAATGATTCTTGATCTCATTATCTGTTCTCCCTGGCAATCTGCCTGCAATCTTGGACCACCTATATGTCCAAAACAAGCAGAAAACCATATATATATATATATATTAATTAGTAAAACTTGTAATAATGACCATAAGCTTAATGCTTCTCATAAGTCATCAACTAATTAAATGTAGGATGCATGTAGCACTAGCTTAAACTTAAACCTATAAGCAAGCAAAAGTTAAATTAATGCATACATCTCCATTTTATAAGAGCGTGATCAATAATATGGACAGTAAATATGATATACGTAAAAAAACACCTTCTAAACCAAGAAATTGAAGGTCATTTTCTTTAACGTGTCAATCTTAAGTTTTTGTTTTGTGGAACGCATTAATCCACAGCATTAACATTTTCAGCTTTATGAAGAAAAGAAAGTTTGAAACCAAGCTTGCAACTCAAGAAAGAGGAAAAAGAAGAAATGACGTCTTTTATAATATATATAATAAAATTAAGATGAAGGGTGAAACAACCTTTTTCACCACCAAACACCATTCTTAATTAATAAAACCATTAACACATGTACGGAGTCATGCTCCCAAACACAAATCTAATGCTGCATGATTGACATGTACATGTACATGAATCATGCACATAGAAACATGAATATTAGAGGGTGACCTATTTCCAAGACGAGCGTGGAGATCAATAACCAACTGTTCTTCAGCTTCAGTGAGGAGGCCTCTCTTCAAGTCGGGGCGGAGATAGTTCGTCCAACGGAGCCTGCAACTCTTACCACACCGGCGAAGGCCAGCGAGTTTAGGCACAGCTCTCCAGCAACACTGGCCATTGGTGAGAATAAAGCTGATGAGCTTCTTGTCCTCCTCAGCAGTCCATGGCCCTTTCTTTACCCCAAGTTTGTCACAACACGGTTGCCTTCCCATACCAACAAAGTACTTTGACTAGCTAGCAAGCACCAACAAAGTACTCAATTAGGCTCACCAACGCTACCAGTAAAAACCTTGAAGACCCAAAAGGTCTACCCCTACCTTTATATAAAGTCCTTAGTCCTCACCTTTGCCGGCCTCATGTCATGTCCAATAAAACTAATTTATCAAATTCGCACATACACAAATTATAATATTCTAGAGAGAGAGAGGGAGAGAGAGAGAGAGAGAGATTTTAGGGTCCACCATTGGGTTGTGAAAGGGATGTCGGAACTACATTGTGTTAAGGTGTGTCTAGCTTCAGAAAATGGGTGATGGTGAAAGATTGGTGACCTAAAGGCGCACATAGAGAGAGAGAGAGAGAGAGAGAGAGGGGGGGGGGGGGGAGAGAGAGAGAGAGATTAGCTTACATGTAATATGCATCCAAATATTTTCTTCCTATTTTCCTACACAAACCCACTGCGCTTTGATTGCACTCTTACTCAACCATTCCATCACCCATTTCGTCATCACCACGTTTACGTGTCCTTATCTTGATGGAGTATGATCCGGTGTTGCTCTTTTAAGTTTTAGGCCTAATTAATATTGCTTTACATTAACAACATGAAGCGCTTGATAAGTAGATGAATATTTAAGTTTGTTTTAATTTCTGATTTTGTTGATTAAGGGAAATTAAGCACTCAGATGGGTTTCATTATGTCGACGAAATCATGCTTATTCACCTAATTAAATGTATGTGTATATTGTGTTGTGTCATCTCTTCTTCAGGTTATTTCGTGACTTTGGCAAGTGGCTCAAGTTCAAGAACCCATAATGAGGCCCTAGCCGTTTCTATATATGTGCATGTTCATTTAACTGCCCAATTACAGAATTGCAGCACCTGGCATGGAAATCTCTAGAATTTCCTTGAGTTTGGGTTGAATATCACTTAGTAGACTATGATATGGAGCAACGATTTGTCCCTCTTGAAAGCCCCAAAAGTTTAAATTAAAGAAAAACTGTAAAAATTTGTATATGTGCATGAATTAATATAGTGTGTGTATACACACACACACGATTGTATACACGTAGATACAAAATTATTCTATACATATATGTGTATCTATGCAAATTTTCTGTGTTGCAGTTAACTGCATTCTTTAAAAAATAAATATACTGTTGATATGTCGTCGGTTTAATCAGTCATTAATTAGTATTGCAAACTTATAGTTGATATGTGATGTTTGTGATCGTCGATATTTTATCCACAAATTCAGTTAATTAGTATAGCATAGTTGTATATATCAGGGCTCGTCCCATCGTTTCTGGTCGCATGAATGGCTAGTGGTGATGGCGTTAAAGTATCAAAATCTCGCCGGGGTAAGGTGGCTCGGGGATGAGAAAGTGCATAGATGAGAGGGAGAGAGTTTCCCAAGGAGAGAATGGAGAGAAGAGAAGGAAAGAGAGAGAGAGAGAGAGAGAGAGAGAGAGTTCTAAAGAGAGTGGGAAGTCATTGGAAGAACACCCCAGAAATGGGGGGAATGGGGGAAATTGCCACTGTTTACAAAGTAGATTTGTATTGATGAATTTGTAGGTTACAATCTTTGTTTACAATTTTCCTCTGATTTAGTCTTCAAATTTGATGTAGATGTGTAGGTTGTTGATCCAAGGGTTGCGATGACTTGATCTTGGACGAACAATTGAATGATTGCTTCAAGTTTTGAGCTTGAAACAATGCATGGATGATCTTTACCCTAGGTTTAAGGCAAAGATGATATTGATGCAAGATTTCGTTCATTCAAGGGTCTTAGCGACTTGATCTTGAAACGAACATCGTTCCAAGTTTTGAGCTTGCAACAAAGTCTTGAAGGAATTGGCATAGGTGCTTGTTGATTCTTCAAGGAGTGCTTCGACTTTGGTCAATAGAAAACTTTGGCTTGGGTTGTGCATTCTTCGAAGAGAGCTTTGGCAGCGTATTAGTCTTCAAAGATTTGTGCAGAGGTTCTTCTCAATATAGATTTTTTTCGACCCTATGCTTGTGGGAGGAACTTGTATTTATAGACTTCTCAAAGCTTGCCTTTGGATGGATTTAGCTTTGATTTGTGTCTTGATTGGTCCATTGGATAATTTAGGCATATTTTGTGTCTTAATTTCAGCCACCTTTACTCCCTTGGCCGAATTATAGAGGCTTTATTGCCTATTTTGTGAATAGTCTTCAATTCTTGCTTGTTTTGTGAAGATGCATCCGGTTTTAGGATCACTTTAGACCCCTTTGCCGAATTTTAGGGAGTTTTCTCCCTTGAGCTGAATTTTGGGAATGTTTTATACTTCCCTTGCTTGATTGCTACCACATGTCATTGATGACTTGTCCATTTGTGATGAGTTATATGCCACGTGGAGCTTTGTGATGCATTTTTATGCAATGAAATTTACATGTCTACAACCATTTGTCACTCAAAGAGTGGCCCAAGATGGAGAAATGTCTTTGATAGTGAAATTACCAAAATGCCCTTTACGTTCGTAAGTCCGTAAAATCTTTATTGTAGCTCCAAAGTCGATTCTACTTGCGTCCACGTGTTCATAATGACAGGTACTATAAGGATACGCCAAGGAAATGAATCTTACATGACACGACACGTCGGTAAACAAAAGTCAACGTTTTTGCCTCGAAGGGAATTTTCATAAATTCATGCATTAAAAATATAAAAATCGTAATATTTGGGGATGGGTCGTTGCAACTAATGTGTTTTAGTTTCTGCAATTTGATGGAAAATAATATCCAAGCATCTAATACCAACTTAGTTGATTTAGAATTAACATAGCAAAAACCATGCAAGTTAATTAATCCAAAAATTCAAATTTCATTGTTTCTTAGAAAACAAAGTATTCGTCAATTCCTTTTATCTCAATTAAATGCCTCAAATATTTTCGATTTGGCTAATATTTTGCAAGAATGATTTATGAGGAGCAATTTGAAAAATAGACCGTTCAGATCGTTCAATTAATCTCCATTTTTATGAAAAGATAGAGATCATTTTCTTTAAAAGCTTCCTCTATATATGTGTGTGTAACATGGATGTCTATGAAAACATGTGATTCAATAGCTTGACCTTATTATTTAAGGGTTACGTTTTAATATTTAACATTTAGCTATAGATTGCTGGTAGTTAATTATCCGATCTATTGGTCCTTGACTTATACCTCTTTAGGGATGCCAATTCTAACTATTAAACTCGATAACCGTGGATAACCACTGGATTGGATTTGGGTATTAAAAATCGAGTATATTTTGGGTATGGGGAAAAACCGTGAGTATTATTTAATTATGGTTTTGGATATGATTATAGGGGTCCTCAATCTGTATCCATCCCTGAATCCGAACCAAATAAAGTATAATATAATTATATATAATATTAAAGTATTAAATAATACACACACACACACACACACACACACACACACACACACATCTATGTCATATTCACCGAATCCATTATCTTGAGAATACAAAAATTGCATTGTGTGAGTTGCATTTTGTCGGAAAGTTCTAATATGAATCAAAATATATGAGAATTCAATAGTATTTATGGGAGATATAAAAAATTAGCCAACGTTTAGCTTTATATTTTATGCTCCACAAGATAAACTCATTAAATGATTTTATACATCAAATATTTAATGACTAAATTATTATTTACTAAATTATCATGCGTCAATTGAATAAATATATTTTTTGTATTGACAAAGATGGATATAACCATTAGCCGATGAGGAATCCATTACCCGGTGGGTGTGGTTATGGATTGAAGTGATGACTTTCGTCAAGGGCCGTTACGGCATATTTCTTGAACGGAATATTTCTTCAAGGACCGTAGAGGCTTGATCTTAAATGAAATGAAAATTTTCTTCAAGGGCCGTTGTGGCTTGATTTTGAAAATGGTTGAATCGGCGCATACTTATTGTGTGTATTTGATTTCCTATAATCTTTGACTAAATACATTTGATGTATTTTGGGACTTTATTTTCTTTTCCTTGCGGGTGTAGGAAACAAATGTTTTTCCTTGTGGTCGGAATCCTCTTCAATTTTGTTAACGAGAATGACTTCCTTCAAAGTGTTGGAAAACTTTTGTGATTTCCTTCAAGGTTTTGGAAAGGTTAGTAGGATGTGCATTTTTTCACTTCCCTTTTTTTTTTCTTTTCCCATGGCAAGGAGGTGGGTTTTTCTTTCCCCTTTTGATTTCCTACAGCAAAGAGGGTGTTTTGTCCTTTCCTCTTTTGATTTCCCACGGCAATGAGGAGATTTGTTTGTTTCTTGTTTTGATTTCCATGGCAAGAAGGACAAATTTCTTTCCTCTTTTTTATTCCCATGGCAAGAAAGGAGTGTTTCTTTCCCCTTTTGATTTCCTATAACAAGGAGGGGTATTTTTTTTCTTCTTTTGATTCCCCACGGAAAGGAGGTATTTTTCCTTTCCCTTTTTATTTTTTTATTTTTTTTTTGGAAACATGTCATCTGACTTGCGCGCCCAGTTTGAGGTTGATTTCTCATCTGAAAAATTCTGTAAAAATATGGGAAACATAGCCTTGTCCCTTATCTTTTCAGGCATATATCGCATGCTACTAGCAAAAATCAGGAAAGCCTTCAACTTTGCATTTCCCTACAGCTGCGCAATCCCGACGGGTGATAGGAGCATATTCATGCGACTTAAATGGCTTGTTCTCGTACATTTACGTTATGTTTCTATAGTTATTTTAGTCCTTTATGCTTCTTTTGTGTGTTTTTAGGTTCTAAGGGCAAAGTATGCAAAAGGGTGCATTTTGGAGTAGTTTGGGGCGTTAAATGGATTGCATATACTTGAAGCCAAGTAGATGGACGAAATTGAAGACCAAAGGAGGCCCTTTGTACCAGAAATTCACACCAACACATCCCATTTCAGATTGCATTCCAATCATTCCAGCCAAGCCACATGCACTCCCTTTAATTTATTCAACCTAGCTGTCAAAGCACATGCACATTCACCCTAATCATTCACATACACAATCTGCCATCATTCACACATTCATTCCACATGCATTCCCTTCATATAAATCAGCCACATGCACCCATAATCATTCAACCAACTTTGCACATGCATTCATCATCATAACCTAGCTGTCATTCCACTTTAATC